CCCCTTCCCCAACTGCCCCACGCCGACCCCCGGCTCGCTCCCAGGCGGAGCGGCGGCCCCCGCCTCGGTCCGAAACTTTCAGAGATAAATCCCGGGAAAGTTTAGAGGAAGGTGAGTACGCGGGCCCGGCCGGCACCGCCGCCCGCCCCGCACCGCCGCCCCTCCGCCGGGCGCCCGGCTCCTCTTTTGGGGACACTTGCTAAAAAAACTTTTCCTTCCCCCCCTGTCCTCCCTTCTCTTCCCCCTGTTGCCCCCTTCCTTCCCCGCTCCCGCTCGTGTCTCCCCGCCATGTTAGCTGCGAAGAGGCAAGATGGAGGGTTGTTTAAGGGCCCACCATACCCGGGTTATCCCTTTATAATGATCCCCGACCTCAGCAGCCCGTATCTGCCCAATGGATCGCTCTCTCCGACGGCGAGAACGGTAAGTGCATTTTTTTTTTCTCCCCCTGTGTGTCCTGTCCCCCCCTGCTCGTTCCCCGGCTCCCGCCGCCGCTCCGCTCCCGGTGCCCGCTCGCCCCGGCCCTGCCGCCGCCCCCTCCCCCGCGCCGCAAACTTTCCAAACTCCGCGGGCCGCGCCGGGAAGGGGTTTGTTTACACTTCGCCATATTACTTTTTTTTTTTTTTGTCCCTTTTTATTTTTTTGTCTGTTTCTTCTTTGTTGTTATTATTTTTTACTTTCAGTTTTGTGGGCAGTTTTTTTTTAGAGCCCTCGTAACCTCCTGTGCGCGGGGGGAGGGTGGGAGAGAAAAAAAAGCAAACAAATTCCRAACAACACCTATTGCAGCCTCAAAACAAAACTGGAATTAAATTTTTTAAAAAAACCCGAGAAGTTTGGATTTGGGGGTTTTTACTCCCCTCCCCTTTTTCCCTTCTCTCCCTTCCTTGGGGAGGGGGGTTATTTTCTCCCGGCCGAGCCTGCGATCCGCTCCTCCAAACTCCTCGTTTTCCATGGTGATCCGTCGCCTCCTGCCCTCCTCCGTGGCGGCTGGGCCGGCTCCCCCTCCCCTTTCCTCCCCCTTAACCCTCTCCTGCCCTCGCCCGCCCCGGCCTGCGGGAGCGGCGATTTCATTGTGCCCCTGTGGGCCGTGTGTGCCGCGAGTTGTGGCCGGGCTCAGCCCGCTCCGGCCGCCCCGATCCGCGCCCCGCGGCGTGCGGGGGCCGAGCGCCGCTGCCCTGCCCGGCGGGGCCGGGGCCGTGCCCGGGGAGCGGCTCCGTCCCGGTGCGGAGCGGAGCGGGGGGAGAGCCGCGCTCGGGGCACAGGGCTGAGTCCGGAAACAACTCGCCTGCCTTGGCTCTGGCAACAACAACAGCAGCGCAAAAAATAATCAGACAAGTCGAGCAAAATTCCTCTTGGAAGTCTGCTGGCAGGAAAACAATTTGCTGAAAGCGTCCGGTTTTTTGTTGGTGGTTTTTTTTTTTCTCTTGTTATTTTTTTTTTTCACCCCTAACTCGGGGTTTGCTGGCTGGAGGTGCAGGTCTGCGTGTGCCTGCAGCTAGAGCGAGGTTTAGCCCAGACCCCAGGAAACTTTGGGGTCTGCTAGTGGATTTGTAGTCCCAGCTGTTTTCCCGCTYGTAGTGCTCTGCTCTGACATCAGATTTCTCAAGTGTCACCTTTTCTTTCATTTTTAAAAGTGTTTAAAAATTTTTTCATTTTGAACGGTTAAATCCACTGGGACTTCCAAACGCCACTAATTCCTACCGATGGCTTTAGCGTTGCTGTTTTGTTTCTTCTGGGTGTTTCTGAATCTGAAGCGTTCCCACCATCACCATGTGTGTTTATACACTTTTTTTTTTCCTTGTGGTAACACGAGATAGCGATTTACAATAATAGATCTACTGTTGGGTAGATGTTGAAGCCTTACTAATGACTGAGGGCTTGGACAACTTCAGTATATCAGATCTACAAGTGTTTTAAAGCATTAAAATATTAAACACCGGGTCAGTCTTGTTTTCACTTAGTAAAACGTCAGTAGACACAGATTAGTAAACGCRGAGTGACAGGGAGGTTGTGAGGAAGGTTTTCTGACTTTGCATATATTTAGGACTGTGGCAGGGTTTTATTTTGGAAGCTTGTGAGGCTCTTTTTGCGAGGAGGTGATTTCTGGGACAGTAGCAGAGGGGTGACTGCAGTTTGCAATTGTAATGATGGGGAGGGGAATTCAGGGGCTGAATGCATTATATTTTTTCTTTTGAATATGGTCACCCGCATGTATATGGATGATGGTGATAAATTCCAAATTCCATAAGTGCCAGAATCCAGATGGCAAAACAATCTTTGTTCCGAATCACTTTGTTAGGAATTGTGAAGCTTTGTATTCCTTTTTTTTTTTTTTTTCTCCTCATTTTTACCTTCAATGCATTCCACTGTTCCAAGTGCAGACTAATAGGAAGCACACCTCTGCTGCCTTTTTCTTTAAGCGTTTTTCTTACAACAGCTACAGCTCTTTTTTCCTCATTACCTTTATTGCAGATCCCTTTTCCCGTATCATGTGGGGATAGGATCCTTCAGCAGTTAGCTCTCCTGGAGCATTCCTCCCCTTGCTCCCCCACAGTTAAAAAAAGGCCTCCATAGGAATGTTGGGTTTGTGTGAATTAAAGGTGCTGTACAAAAGCTTACAGGTTGGTTTATTGTTGGTATAGCAGGTGGCCTGCTTGTGTTATCAGATGAATTCTGAAAGGATATTTCCACACTCAATAGGCAATTTTCTTATTTCCACATCCAGGCTCCAGCAACCTTCTCCTATCTTCTTAACCTTATTCTTTCACATTCCGTATGCTTGTTTGTTTGCCTGCCACTTAATTATAGCCAGGAAAAATTAAAGTTGTTTATTTAGGCCTGAGAGCAGAATATTATAGAGATTCAGCGGGATAGCTGTTGTCTGTCACACACTATTTTTAGGTGGATTCTAGTTCTCTGCTGCACCAGCTTTCAATTCCAGATGAACTAGATCTTTCTCTCTCCTGTTTGATTTTATTTTATTTTTAAATACGCGTTGGAAAGGTATAGATGGTTCTGCATAATTACGAATTTTATTTTTATTTATGTAGTTTTTCCTGGAGCCATATTTGTTGAGTGTCAGAGCATGCAAGGTAAAGAGGTGATGCAGATATGTAGCAAAATTGTTTTTCTTTTCTTTTTGCTGTTGTACAATCTTAAAAGTCTGTGGGTGTGGTTTTTTTGTTGTGGTTTTTTTTCCCCTGGATTTTTTTTGTTGCTTTATTTGGGGGTGTAGTGGGATTTTAGTGTGTTGTTTTTTTTTTAAATGTACCTGTAATTGTCTGTTCAAGAGCAAACTTGTGGGCAGCATTTTCTCCTTTACTGCTCCAGGAATGTAAAGAATTATGAAGTATCATAAAAGCTGCTTATGGGGAATAATCTTTTCTCAAGGATAATGCTTAAAATACTGTAAACTCTTTATCAAGATTGATAGGAATAATTTTGTTTTTAAAAATCGAAGATTTTTTGCATGCTAATCTTGCTTGAATAGGTAGAATACTGTGGCTTGTTTATGAGAATAGGTGTTATTAACTAGAAATCTAGTCAAATAGTAATGAAGTGATGCATCTGAGAGCACCAGTTTCATCCCTGCACTTGCAGAGGGSTAGCTGCATGTTAGGGATGATAAAGGAGACCGTTTTCCTTTCAGAGGTGGAAAACATAGCAGTGGTGTACTTGATTTTTAGTTTAAATTTGGAGCTTGGTTAATGCTTTTGGTAAGCAGATAGATGTGTTGTGATTTGAGAAAACCCTGCTGGCAGATGTTTTTATTTTTACTAGTGCTGTTGCATCTTCCTTTCCCTTAAATTGTTGCTGGCTGAGTGAGGCTGAGGGGGTAAGCYTGTGTTTGGCCCTGAAGTTTGGGAGTTGGAAATAGCCGTGGTGGAGAGCAGCCTCATCACCTCGATTTTTATGTTTAGGAAGAAACRTATTTCTTTAATTGCCTTAAAAACTTGATGTTTTCCTTTATATCCTGAATCAAAATACGTAATCCTTCCTAATACAAAAGCTGTAGACCCTGGGGTGTGAAGGGTTAATGGTGGTCCTTTTTTTTTTTTTTTCCCTCCCTCCAATTGTTTTGACAACACTTTTCAAAGTGTGACATTCCAAGCCCTTGCAATACAATGTAATATTACTGTAATTACACAGGTCATTACATTTTAAATAGAGAACAATAAAATGCTTATCGCCCTGAAAAAGAACAGGTGTTCTTGCCCTTCTTTGGTATTTATGCTAATTGTTTTTCATCTCCTTCAGAAATATTTATGGCTGGAGTGTTAAGGTTTCAGTCTCGATGTGACAATATTAATTCTTTCTAATCTTTATGGTTGAGGTTTAATGTCTGCAGTATGGATTATAGTATTAACGTCCACCAACTTGTTTAATAATGTAGATACAAGTTAATATGTCAGCACTTTGGTACTTTATGATACAGAGCTATTCAGTGGAGAGTGAATTATTTGCTTTGTTTAAAAAAAAAATGAMTGGACATGCTTTTAATAAAGTTTCTGGACTTGTGTAAAAACAAACTGTTTAATAAGAACTGATGATCCTGTGGTGTAAATCAAATGGAGCCTCCATAAAGAAACTTTCCTCGTGCTTAATTAGGTAGATTGCTGAATCACTCTGCTATAGCATTAGCATAACTGTATACAGTGGCAAACAGACTGTGTTTGTTAACTTACTTTCCATCAAGAAGCTGATTTATTTTTAATTCTATGCTTTTTTCTTTTTTTTTTCCTTCTCTTTCTTTCGTCTTTTTCTTTTTTTCTCYCCCTTGATAAGATTTTATTCTGGAGCGAATGCTGCATTGCTTACTCCATCAGTTTCTCTTCAGGGGGCTATGAAAATTAGTTAGAGAAAAGTTTCATGTTTCTGGGACCTTGCAAAACAATATAATGCAGTACTGTTACTTGAATGTACAGGATAATTGCAGTACTGCACTTCATTAAAAATAATATTTGCTTTGGAAATCGAACAATTTTAATAGGTGCACCAGTGGCTGATCTGTAGAGGAAAAAAATACAGTAGATGCTTTTCCAGGTTTTTTGAATGCATTCATACAAGGACTGAGGATGTTGAGTGGGGTGGTGTGGTTTATTTTTTCCCTTCTTCCCCTTCGTTTTTTGTTCAAGCAAGTATGTGCTGATTTGTCAGCTGAAGATGGAGGGGGGGGAAGGAGTGTGTTGCAGCTTTCACTGGCGCTTGTAAACCAGAATGTAGGTAAAAATGTTTTAAATTTGTCAAGACCTTCATGAGTGGGCCCCAAAATCAGATAAAAAATGTGGTGTAGAGAAAAAGGACAGCTGCAGATTTTTTGTGTGGACGTGTGTTTCTGTACCATGACTAAAAACTCTAAGGACCTTTTCCCAGCTGTCTGGGAGTTATGTGGAAGTTGGATTATTGGCAGTTAAGCATGAGAC